CACACTCTTAAGACTGGGCACAAAGTTGGAGCTTGAAATATATTTGTTAGAAGAATAATACATTTACACACAAAGAATAGTCACCAGTAATGTCCATTCTCATTCTGAAACACACAGTGGTATGTGGGCCAGGTTTCCCAAGTGAAGACCCTAGAACATTTAAAAAATACTAATTAACCCTCACAATGATGTTTTCAAGAGTGGTGCTGTGGGTGTCAGGTTTGGGGAGGAGGCCTTATCAGTTCCATCCTTACAGTTATAATAACGTAACCCATACTCTTAAGTTCTTTAAAAGCCAGTAAGTGTTGGTCCACTGGAATGAAATGATTTACTATGTTTTCATGAAGCTTAGAACCAAACATATAGAAAAAATATGGCTCGGACACATTTTCTCTTGGGAAAAAAAAAATCCTTCTTGGGAATAAGATCTATTGCAACCAAATGATCGGGGATCAAAACCAACCTCCAAAATTGTTATTTGGAACAAGCAAACAGATTTTCTTGCCCAGGAAAGCAGAGGACAGAATGATTGTCTTGGTTTTAGGCATTCAAAGTTTTTCCACATATGTAAGGAACAGAAGATAAAATGCAACTATTGAACAAATGGGTTCTGGAATGGTCAAAAGTGGGTTTCAATCCCGACTTCACTACATTGGTCAAGTCTTCCTGAGCCTCAGTTTCTGAAAAAGTGAAATGGGGTAACAATAGAACCCTCTTCAAAGAGTTGGGGTAAGGATTACTCATGAGATAATCCATGTAAATCACTTAGTATTGGGAGTTAACAAAGGCAAATGTTACCTAAATAGGAGGAAATAAAGGAGGAACAATGACGCCTCTTTTATCTATGCTAAGCTTTGTCTGCAGAGGTGGGAAAAGAAGCGTGTTGCCTGTTGGCAAATTTATTGCTTTGTGATACTGATGGATTTTCCTAAAGCTGTTTCCCTCTGATCATTAATAATCCCTGTACAGTAAAGGGCTATTGTTCTTCAGTATGAGCAAATAACCCCGTCAGATGCACTGCTTATCTTCAGACCACAGCACATACTTCTTACTGGAAATATAATGCAGGTGCCAACACTGAAGGCATGACCAGACTTCCTATTTTTCTTCCTTTATCTCTTACTCCTTGCTTATCCTTTGGCTTGTTTTTCTCCTACATCTCTTATATTTCCTACTTTCTGGTGTACACCCATATCCTATACAGTATCATCCTTACCCAAATCGAATAACCTTCAAGTTAAGCTGTGCCCCACACATCACTGCCCTCTATCCCCCACTCCTCTCAATTAACAGACAGGCAGACACACACACCCCACGGACTTGTTTCCTGTCCTGGATTCAGTTTTTGGTTACTAGAATCCAAAAAGGGAAGTGTAATGCCACACACTGTTCTGCAAATCTCAGGATATGCTTGTGTGGTGTACTTAATCATACCACAGCTATTCTCTGAAACAGCATCTTTTTACACAGAAAGTGACAATATGGTGTGTCAGAGATAGGAGGCAGGGAGTGGAAGGTAGATCGTGTTTTCATTTTACTTAAAGGAATAGAATTAGGTTAGGCCCTGTAATATGGGAAATTTCCAGAACACAGGGAAAAACCAAAAATACTGATGTCTGAAAGGCTTCTAAATTATCCAAAACAAAATCATATGAGGCAAGTATGCTCATTCTAAATATACCAGCATAGGAGCATACATAAGATTATACTTGTAAGGGGGAACTCCAATTAGGCTTTTGTAACCAAGAGAGATACAGCTCTTTTTCCCCTCAGACAGAAATTCTAAATGGAAACCAAGTTTCTGCCTTCAATTCAAAAGAAATGAAGTATTTGTTTCCTTATCAGCATATTTTAAGAGACAAAAGTAAGGGTCAGTCAGAGGGGGTAAGAACCAGTTAGCAGAAGTAGGATGAGGTGTTAGATGTGTGTGGGTGTGGGTGTGTGTGTGTGTGCTGGAAATAGATGAAAACTAGGTCAACGCTAAAAATCAACCCCAGTCATTCATTCATAACTACCCAGAATTTCACCCCTTCATAGGAACTAGGAAAGTCAGAGCAAGAAACACTTAAGTTTAAATTAGCATTTAAATCCTCCTTTGTGATAATTTCCTAGGGAAATGGATTAGGAAACTGACAAAAGGGCTTTGGTTATAACATTAGATACAGCTGGAGTTTTCTAGCACCTGACCCTTGATCCAACCATCTGATGAATAACCTCACGTTGAGTAGTGGTCCCTGCCTTCACAACAGTTTCCAAATACCCTCCACCTATCAAGTAACTACCAAATGAGCAACTTTTCTCATCTGCAGAGGCAACAGGGCTCCTTACCAGACAAAATCCCTTGACAGCAGGAGCAATGAATGTCCATCCTTATGTGTGTGGAACTATTTGCACCCAGAATACCTTCAAGCTCCTGCAGTTCAGTGCTGACCCACAGAATGTATTTCCTTTTTACTTTATTTATTTGTTTATTTATTTAGAGCATGAACAGGGAAGAGTGGCAGAGGGAGTTAGAATCTTAAGCAGGCTCTGTGCTCAGCGCTGAGCCTGACCCAGGGCTCAATCCCACGACCCTGAGATCATGACCTGAGCCAAAATCAAGAGTTGGATGCTCATCCAACTGAGCTATCCGGGCACCCCCACAGAATGTATTTCAATGATGGAAATATTCTATAACTGTGATGTCCAGCAGGGTAGCTAGCCACTGGCCACATGAAATATGGTGACTGCATCTGAGAAACTGGCATTTGAAAGTGTATTTAAGTACCTACATGTAAAAAATAAATAGCAACATGTAGCCAGTGGCTACTGGGGAACAGCACAGTTCAAGACCAAGAACTGCAAATCAAATGCCCACAAGGGTCAGGCAGACAGCTGAAAAGAGAGGAGGCCTTTGGCACTGAGCCACATACAAAGGGGTGGGGCGGTGGCGGGGAGAAGCTTTATTGGCTCCAGGTGTGTTGTCAGATTCTTTTTTCAATGAAGCTGAAAATCTGGATTTTGATGTCTAATTTTTAAATGTTGGCAAGTCAATTTTAAAAAGAATTTAAATTTAAATCATTTTGGGGGCTGAATGATATGTTTGTAGGCAATAGCTGTATTTCCATTTGCAATCTCTAATTTAGGCCAACCCCTTCAGCTCAAAGAAAAAGACCTTCTCCAATGAATGCCACTGCTGATCAGCAGCAGATCCAAGATTGAAACCCAGGCCTTCTGATACTTCTGATATTCTTTCTAGATTTTATGAGATTAACCATATCTAGATTGTGGCTGGCAGTGGCAGCATCAGCGGGACAAAAGCTCCTTTGTCAGAGCTGCTTAAGTCCGTGACTGATACCTTATGAATACAGTATTCCTACCTAGCTATAACCACATATTGGGCCCTTTGGGCAAAGCTCTATACTAGAAGCAAGACACAAAGAAGAAATAGCCCACAGGGGAGTCAGACATAACAATTAACAAGCAAAGTCAGGCTTGCTGTAATGGGACACAAATCACCTGCACACAAGTCCAAAAGCAATGACAGCTGGGGGAGGAAGGGAAGGAAGAGATTTGAGCCAGGGCTTAGAGGATGAATAGAAGCTGGCTGGTGGGTGAATGAGTCTCACGGATTATGAGAGTGAGTCTCACTATTGCAGGATATTAAGGGATCCTGCTTTTATCTCTGAGGCCTTATCTGTGTCAAGTCTCCTTTGCTGGCTTCTGTTCTTCTCCGGGGAATCTCTGAATGTCTCTAAAAACTCCTCTGTGTATTTTCTCTGGGACTTTTCCCCTGACTTGTATGTCTAACTTCTCCGACATCTTCACCTGGATGGTTAGTAGACTTATCGAACCTAGTATATTCAAGAGAACTTAGGATATTCCGTTCCAAACAGTTTCCCCTTAGTAGTCCTCCTTGGTTCCTCTTCCTCCCATACACTTCACACCCAATCAGGCATTAAGTCTTGCAAACTCTACTTCCAAAATGCATTCTGAATTTAATGATCGGCATTTCCACTGACAATACTTTTTGGCCTACTGTAACAGGGTCCTAACAGTTCTGACAACTTCTACCCTTCTCTGTCTAGCACCCAAGTGATTTTTTTTTAAATGTAAATCAGGTCAGGTCACTCCCCTTCTCAAAACCCTCAGGTAACACAACAGCCAAACCCTTACCTTGGGCTAAAATGCTGTGCTTGTTCAGGCCCTGGCATTTCTCCATCACAGACCACTTTGGCCCTTGTTTTTTCTGCTCCAGCAACCTGGCTTTCTCGCCGTTTCCTTCCTCAGAACCCTGTCGGTTGGCTCTTTTCTCCACCTAGACAGTCCATTCCCTAGCTTCTTTCTTTTCTCGAACCTCTGTGAAACCCGGCCTTCTCTGAAGAGCTCTACCCCATTTTAGAGTGGCCCTCCCCCCATCTTCTACCACTTCATCCGGTACTATTGTCTTACTTGCGGATATCTTCCTTCCTGATTTACATTTTAACTGTACATTTTAACTTTCTTCCGGACTCGAAGTCACCGAGCAAGGCCTCCGTTCTCGCTCTCATTTGTAAATCGAGGCAATAAGAAGCTAGTTCTCAGTATCCTAGAAAGTCTCCGTAGCTTGTACGGGCCCTCGTTTGGGTCAACCTTCCCCAGCTTGACGCCTCTCGCCCCAGAATAGCCCCTATTAATATCCTATTTATATTCGGGGATCCAAGCGATTCAGCAAAGTTTGAGATGGGCCCCAAATCGGCATCTCAGAGTCCCCAAACCAGGCCTTCCCTTCCTGGCCTTCGGGCCACTTCCCAAGGCAAGTTCTCGAGGCCAGGGGCGACGACACCGAGCCGCCCTCGCGAGGCAGGGGTCATACAAGCACGTCTCCTAGCAACGTCGCACCCCCGCCCCCACCCCATCCCTGCCCCTGGGGAGCCAACCCCTTCCCCCAGTCTCCCGCGCCAGGAGTCAGCGTCTCCATCCCCTACACTCACTCTGCGTCAGTCCTGCCTTCCCCCACCCACAGAAGCGCCGCAGCCTACCGCGGGCTAGGAGGAGGCGGCGCCAGGAGCCTAGCTGAGCCGCGGGCGACGGAGGTCGGGCAGGTCCGGTAGGCCAGGCCGGACCAAACCACCGGGAGGACCTCTGTGGGAGCATTAGTTCCAGGTCGGGAGTAGCCACGAGTCTCCCTTACACTTCATACTGTAGCCCATATTCCGCCGTATACAAACAATATAGCCAACTTCATCCTCTCCGTAGTTTCTCTTTACCCCTTCCGCTATCGTTCCCCCCACTCTAGTCAAAAAAATGGTCCAGTCCAGCACCTCCTAGCCCTCCCTCCTCGTCGCTAGGTCTTTGCCCTTACTTGGCTACAGCTTCGTGCGTCTTTGCGTACGTCGTGACGCAATCTTCCACCCGTTCCTCCCCGCCCCTCTTCAATTCTCCCTCCTGGAGTCGGCTGCCTGCGGGGTTACCGGAAGTGATGATGCAGGAGGCGATGGAGGGGGCGGGGTTTGGGGGCGGCTGCCGCCGGTGGGCCGCAGATGAAGAGGAGGCGGCGGCAGTGGTGGAAGAAGAGGCGGCGGCGGCGCGGGTAGGGAGCCTGGAAACGCGAGCGGGGATGGTAGGTGGTTTGGACCCGCCGGGCCGCCGTCGTTTCCAGAAAGGGTTTGACTGGAGGAACCTCTGGAGCAGCTGTGAGTTTGGGGGGGGGGGGCTTTTGAGGAAAAGGGGGGAGCATTGAGAGATGAAGGGGCGGGGGTTGGGTACCTTCGAGAAAAGGGGGTGGAAGGGGAGGAGTGGAAATCAGCGCCTTGTCTGGACTGGTCCCTTTGAGGAAGAGGCTGTGAGGGGAGCCTGTGGCGTGTCAGCCGCAGGGCTCAAGAAAACTTACCTACGGTCCCTGCCTCCCCACCGCCAGCACCCCTCAACCCAGGCCTGGGGATCTGGGGGCTGGAGCTGCCCTGGAGAGGGTGCAGACTCTGGTTCTATGCCCCGGGTAAGCGCCGTAAGGTAGGAGTCCAAGCGGGAGGTGGTGGGTGAATCTCCAGCTCCCTCTTCCCTCATTTCACTCCCCACCCCCATCCTTCTCTTTAATCATTAACAGCCCTGGAATTAAGGGGCTCAACCCTGAAGGCCTTTCTATGCACCTTTGCTACAAACGATAACCATCTGTGCCTGAGGTAATGGGGCTGGAAGCTTTGCCCGTGTCCTGTATAGGAAGTGGTACGGGGTGACAAATGTATTGTTTTTTTTCCATTCCCTTTCACCCCTTTTCTTCTCCCATATACACCCCTCGTTTCCACTTCAGTTCTCTGTGGCTAGGTGGTAATCATGGTGGTTTTTCTTTTTTCTTTCTTTTTTCCCCCCTTTATGTCACTTGGTACCTTGATTACCTCTTTCGAATTTGGTGTTCAGCCTCTATCCCAGATCTTACTGCAAGCTTTGTAATACTTCAGTTACAGGCTGTGTCACATTGGGAGTACCTCTCAATGCCTGGTAGCTCCAAATTAAGATGAGCATTTTCTCCTATGAATACTGGAATTCCTAAGGCCTTGCAAGGATTCCTAAATGGCATCATAGCCCAGGAATCAAAGTCTCTTGTTCTAAATACTTTATGTGTGAGGAATTTACATGTTGTCAACTCTTTCCAAAATGATTTGATGTTAGGCTAATTCTGGATTTCTGTGTTTCTCTCCACCCACACTTCATGATGCACTTCAGAGAACAGAAAACCCCATATTACTTTTTTGTTTCTGCAGTTGGACAATAGGTTTTTAATCTTTTTCTACATTTGTTGGTCACACAAGTCTTCAGTGGCACATATGATTTGTGCTGATTTCCATCTTATTTAGCTGATTCTTTGTGTATAGGTGGTCTTAAATGAGAAAATGTGGTGTGTTGTTTTAAAGAAGAATACAAACCAATAACGGATGTGCAAAAATTATTTGAACAAGGCAGATAATGACTGGAAAGATCTCTTTATGGATGTTCTCTTGGTTTAAAAAAAAAAATCACCAAGTAGTGCTCTTTTAGCTTGTCTTAGAAGTTTTAGAGTGAAATGTAAAAATTCCTATTTTGGTGTTGATATTTTCTTTGGAAATCTGTTGAATGTTGAACTGTGTTTTCTGAAGAACTTTAATAGATAGTGCCTAAATATTAGGGATCCTTTGATTAGAAAGTGTCCATAAATCCTGGCCCTCTATAACTGAGTTTATATGCATATTGCTAGGAGAATTATCATAACGGGTCCCATCCGACTCATTAGGGCTTTCAAGCCTGATAAAACAGAATATTTAATGCCTTGATTGTACAAGTAACAGCTTGTTTATGTGTTTCACAGAACTGTAACAAAAAGAATGACTACTTTTCTCACAATTGATTTGGAACCATTGTATAAAAAGTCCAAAATTCATTCATTCAGCAAGCATTATTGACGAGCAAGTAAGTGCTAGCCAGTATTTTGCATTCTGGGTGGGCAAAGGTGAACACAAGCATAAGGTCTGAGCTTTCATGGAGCTTACATTAGAGAGTGTGGGGACAGAGAATAAATAAGCAAATAAATCAGATTTTAATAAATGCTGAAGGAAGTAGAGTGATGTGATAGAAAGTGATTGGGATGCAGTCAAGGAAGACCTTTCTTGAGGAGGTAACACTCAAGCTGAGCTTTAAATAAAAAGAAGCCAGCCATGCAAATATAGGGGAAAAGCCTTCCAGCTTCTCGGACTAGCTAGTGCAGAAACTGGCTGAAGTGACTTTGGCAAGTTCCAGGGTCTGGGAAGAAAGGGGTGGGGTGGAAAGGGGGTAGGGAGGTGAGGGAGGATGGGAAAGAGGAGACCGTAACAGCCAGAGCCTAGTGAGCAAAGAGGAAATGAAAAAAGTCTAGGTCAGAGAGGTAGAGGCTAGGCTCAGAACAGGTAGGCAAAATAAGAGCAAGAAGAAGGAAATAGAAAGTGATGCTCCTTTTTGATCAATTCTATTTCCTTTCGTAGAGTATTATCACTTACTGTTTTGCAGGTACTGTTGGACTGTTGGCAATTAAAAAAAAAAAAGTTGCCCTGCTGAGAGTGGGAGAGGAGCCGTCTGTGGTCACCTGGGTCTTTTCTGGCAGATAAATGTCAAGCTGTGTTCAGAATTCAGCAAAATGTTCAACTGAGAGCACACTTTTTCTCCTTAGAGGATTTTGTCTTGTATGCTATTTAAAATTGCATAGTGGGTACCCTGAATATGTTCTAGTAAATGAATCCTCCTTTGCTTCCAGCTGTGTATGAATTTAGGGTTGAAGGTTGGGCAAGTGATAATAATATAACCCCGTTGGTCTACAAAGATGTCCATCAGGATCTAAGTTTGAAGTTGTTTTTTGTAGGGAGGCAGGTTTTATGTTGCAACATTTCCACTCTTGTCTGGTCTGCCTGATGACTAATAACACTGAGCTGAGGTGTAGGTTGGTGCTAAAAGTTCACTCGGTGGATTACAGTAGATAAATGACCATTGTGGGCTGAATCCCACTATGTCGGCATCTTTGGGCTGGCATGTAACCAGGGGATGTAACCTACTTTTGCCTTCTGTTGGGGCCATTCATCTCCAATAGCTGCTTTTCAGCCTCACCTTGACCAGATTGTCCACTTGAGAAGCCCAATCAGGACTCCTCCTTGATTTGGCCCTCTTCTGCCATGTCACAGTGGGCTGAAACAGAAAGAATACGCTGTTTTCTTCTTTTGAACCCCACAACAGTGACTAGTGTGTTCTTTGAGTGAATTGGCCCTTTGAGCCATGTGGTTGAGAGACTTAAATGTTGCTTGGGCTGTTTGTAGTAAAGTCGGTATTAGAAATGCTAAGTAAAACCTTTTAGTGTTTGGGGGAAAACAAATCTGAAATTGAGGACTTGTCACCTGTTTTAAGTTCTGCTACTTTAGTAGAATTGGTAGGTGGATTGCCAGAACTAATGAACAGGGCTTGCTGGGCAGTCCTCAGGGTAATGAGGGGGGTGGAATAGAGCCTGGTACTGAATTACTGAATTCCGACTTGAATACCAATGGAAAGTCTTTTAGTTAGCAAGCAAGTGACTGAAGTGAACAGCTAGGACCAGGAAAACAATAGACTCCACTCTTCTGTACTGCAGACTAAGTCAAAGATTTGAGAACTGATGATATATATATATATATATATATATAATATATAGGCTAAATATATATATGATATATATAGGTTAAATATATATATATAATATATATAGGTTAAATATATATAGGTTATATATATATATGTCTAGGTTAAAGAGTTTTGGACTTTGTATGCTAATGCTGGGCTTCAGATGCTCTGGCCAATGGATTATTAAGCTGTCTACTATTCATCTTCATTTCAATGGCTTATTATAACTCAGCTATGAAAATATCCTGTAGGTTGAAATATTATCAGCTAGTTTGTAGACTAGTGGCTCTTTTCTAATTTCTGAAAGGGGGTGGATATGTAGGAGGGGACTTGAACATGGGGAGAAGCCATTGACTCCTACGTTGGCCACTGATTGTGTTTGGGGAAAGAATCCACCAATCTAAATGAATGTGGAGTCTTGGAGTTGAGCTGGCCTTTTAATCTAGGGTACCAGTTGATTTCTTTCTTGAACTTTGGGGGCTTTTGGACAAACTCTTCTGAGAGGTGGGCAACCTAGGAGGCCAGTTGATGCCACTTAGTTTTGGAGTTGTATTGCAGTAGACTTAATCTGATTTTGCTGTTTTGGTATCTGTGCTGCAGTAAGAGTTAATTGTACACTGGCTGCCAGTTGTTTTGAGGTGAAGATGTGGTAACTCAGATTGAAACAATGGTAATTACGTGGTAACTCCTATTTCCCCGGCTCTTGATAACTTACAATTACTTCTTTGTGTCTCTTTACAGATGTTGATACCAGTGAACCAGGATCAGTTCTCCCTAAATGTTGCACAGTGTTCTGAAGCTCTTTGTACAAAGGACCAGTGAGTTTGAGTTAGTGTCTTTCACTTCAAATCTAGTTTCACTGGTTCTTGTGTCTGTTTTTCTAGGTGATGGAAGGTCTTATTTCTTTTGGGAGAACAAAGAGATTATCACAGTACCTCACCATTTAATTAACGATTACAAAGTATAACTCAACATATTAATTTAGTAAAATAATGAGAAAAAGAGTTGGAAGCTCAAACTCTAATTCTTTGAAGTTGTGATGTGCTGAAAGGAAAAAATGGGAGGGGGAAACAAAGTCCCACATGATCTTCTTTTAGATGTGTGTGAATGAAACTTTATTTAAATACTGTACATCAGAATAGGGA